CTGCATTTAGCAGCAAACAGCCTAAAGCTTTCCTTCGTTGAGAGGGATTCGTTGTAGGTGAGACGTTTTGTGGAATAGGAAAAGCATAATACAGTGTTAGTTGTTGATATTTATCGATTTCACAGAGGGATAGGGTTGGATTGGTCACTTATCGGCATCTGATTTGGTGCGCATTTCAGTCCCTTTCACCCGTTTCTGTTATGGCCCCCTGCCATTGAGATCCATTTTTACTGGCCGAATTGGTCCTAAGCTGCTTATTCTCGACTAATTACAGCCAGGGCACCGACTATGTACAACTGTGGTTTGTTCTTGTCTCTTTTCTGCTATCAATCTGCGGTCTTCATGCCATCAGTTACAGATAGTCAAATGCACATGTAGTTCAGACTCATTGTAGAACACTAGGACCCAAACAGAGCCTTCAAGCAGACGTCAGAATGTCGAGCCTAGCCAACTTCATTGTCTTTCAGTGCCCGCAGGGAACACGTCCACATGTTGTTTATGCAACACCTTGCGCATAAGGCAAAATTTATTTGTAGTGCACCTCTAAATATCTATTCCCCCGCCCAACTGCCTAACGTATTTTGCGGTCAAACATTTAATTCTTGGCTAGTGAGCGTAAATTAATATGTAATTGTGGCGGAAGTGATCAAAAATATTAAATGAAATAAGATTATGTTTGTTTTAATATGCTTAATAAAATCACATTCAATCAACGTAAACTTTTATTGCGCAGGATACGAATGCTAATCGAGGGAAATTTGACTTTATGTAAGCGGAATTTAACGGAAATGGAAATTCGCCCTCCTATCATTGGAATTTAACGAAAATATTTAAAGTCAAGCTACCGAACATTTGAAAGTAGTCTTTTTTATTATAAGTCAACGGGATTTTTGAGGTCTCTATAATCAATCTTGCCGCGCTTACATCTGACTAGGATCGGTTGTAGACTAGTCTGCCGACAAGGTTGGGCATGAAATTCTAATATTGTCCTCTTTGCTTTCTTCAGCTCAATGAAGAGCAGACTTTGGTTCTCAAACAGTTGGCAGAAATTGTGGATGAATTTCTCGGAATTGCTGATGAGGAACTTGGTTAGTTCTTGTACTTTTCGTGCTCTGTTTGTATTACCTTTCTGCATAATGTTGCAACCGATTCCAGGTTTCCGGTTACCTCGGGGTAACTACGCCTACGGAATAAGGCGTTTCTTACTTGACATTAATGGCCAACTTCATTAACCACAGACGTGGATACTAAATAAAGGAATATTTTTTATATTTTAAATACCCAGGGGGCATTATCAAAAAAGGACGGTAATTTATTTGTATGTCTTTAATCTCTGATGTTACATCTGCTGGACGGCTATGTGTTACTCGAAAGAAAAGACACTATCCCCTGGAAACTCAAACTTTTGGTGGAAAAGGCTTTCCTAGGTAGCTCGGCTTCGACTAAGTCAGGTCATGTTTATTTAGAGAAATATGGGGAAACGCCTTTGAACTCCCTATTGGTACACAGTAGTTAAGATGTGCATCGGCACAGCCAAGCATTTCAAAGAAGGTCGTTTACATTATTGTAGGCGACTACTCACTTGTTGCAAATAATACAATCACATGTAGTGATGCTAGTTAACACGGGCCAGCAGGTGTAACTGAGCAAAATGAGCAGACAGTGAAAAACTCCTAAGGTATGGTTCAGAATGGAATGAGATATCATTTGTGGTTTTTTAGGAGAAAAACTGTCGCTCGTGGGAGAAAGTATGTGGAAGATAGGATCAGCATGCTGCTGTGAATGTTGGCGGCAAGTCAGGAGGCGCGAAGGCATTGGGCTATGCAGCGTATAAACACTTAGAGTAAATATTGAAATATTTGCATCCCAAGATATTAATTATGAGAATAAGACTTTCTTTGGGAAATGTCCAATTTTATTTCGTGAATTTTCGATACGGACCAACCGGTCGTCGTCAGACGTGGAAAAATTGTGCAACAAACAACTAACATGCTTAAATGTTCGGAAAATCAATATTCCTCCGACGAGTGCACCGATTGGTAGGATTTTTGATCTGTGCTTGTAGGTGCTGTGTGCCTTCCGTGATTTGGCTGTCTGTTGTGTTTTGGTGGCGCGCGTTCAATTTAGCTTTGAGGT